AACTAGACAAAACGGGTTTTAACAAAGACATTTAGTATAAACTAGTTTCAACTAGACAAAACGGGTTTTAACAAAGACATTCAGTATAAACTAGTTTCAACTAGTTAAAACGCGTTCTAACTAAAAACGGGTTTTGACTGTAACATATATATATATATTTCATTCGTTATTTCATTTTATTTGTATTTAAATTTTTGTTTTATTTTGTTTATATTCGAATATCTTATCTCGATGATGGTTAACAGATTTGGCTGAAAGTGTTTGCTTTTTCATTAAATTATCTCAGCAAATTAAGGTGTTATGTTTTTTTGATTTTTTTTAATTCCTAGCTATTTTTTAATCAATGTAGCTGCGGAGCTCATTTTTCGCTTTATTCGTACTTTTTTATGTGATTTATTTGAGTTCCATTTGGAATGTAAAGTTCTTTGCTAGCCTTACTAGCATATATCTCAATTTTCATTGTTTCTACAGCTGCATACAAATCTTTTCCACTACATTAAAAACATCTGTACAGTTTCTCCGTTATATTTACGTTATCTGCCATTTTGAATTTATCTAAAAGTTAAATGTAAATGACTTTCGACATTCATTTCAAAGCATTTTAGTATGCAGCAATGAATGACCACATAACTTTAAACCATGATCACTTACTGGTACAAGTTATTTAATTCATTTATTTCTAAGAAGTAATCGGTGTTTTGATTTTCATATATTTTAAACGTTATACGAAAATCGTTATATCTTATTCTTTACATAAGTGTACGTAAATTAAACAAAACTCTTTACAAGAAATTTATTTTTATTGTAGATCCGTGTTCGGCACTTTAATAATTTGCGTAATCTTAGCAACATCCGTTCATACTTTGTTGAAATTACAAATAGTTAGCAAGAAAAGAGTGAACGGTAAGTCAAATTCCGTATATTTTCTGAAAAAGCATATAGATCAGGGGTATCCAACCCGGGGCCCGCGGGCCGCATGCGACCCAAGGCAAGTTCCAATGCGGCCCAATAAACGTGTAAACAAAACCGACAAATGTTTTAATTATTTATTATTTATTTATTTCAACGGCATAAACTCAAAAAAAAAAAATGTTTTACAAAGCCGTAAACTTTTATTCATATTTTATTTCTGAGTGGAAAGAAAATATTTTCAAATACTGTACTTGGAGATGTGTGAATGCGGAAAAATTACTAAATATAGATGGAGTTGTGACTCAAAAGATTATAGACCCAAATTTTGGAAAAGGAAGGAAGGATGAGAAAGGACAAAAGATGTAGTAGTGAGAAAGGTTAAATAGATATTCTGTTCAGCAAATATGCACCCGTAATTTTTCAACCTTTTACACTTCTTTATCTTTTTGTCTTTGTTTTTTTTCCCGCACTTGGGTCTATAATCCTTTGATTCACAACTCCAGCTTTATTTAGTATTTATTCCAACGTTGCAAGACTTGACTACATTGGGCCAAATGTGGCTACTTTTTTTCTTTGAAGTAAAAAATATCATTTGGCGCTTTGGCTGCATTTTCGGCTACATATTATTTATGATTATATTAATTGAATAAAAACACACTTTAAAATGGCGTTTCGTCGCTTATTATTATTAATTAATTAATTAATTAGAGATCCAAATAAAACAAATATTTGTGTTTCTCAAATAAATTTTCGTTTGTCTCTTTTATAATAAATAAATTTATCTATTTCTAACTAAAAATTAAAAGTGTCTATAGAAGTAATTTTTTTAAATATCCTTTTTCTTGATAAAGTTTTAATACTTATTATTACAATCTAGACATGTTAATTCTTAAATTTGGGCCACAATTATATATATTATATATACTTGTGGCCCAAAACTCCTTGACTTCTTCCAATGAGGCCCAGAGAAACAAAAAGGTTGGACACCCCTGATATAGATGTTCATTTGTTTTAAGTTACTCTGCAGATAATTTATATACATTTTATTATTATTAATAATTTAACACATCTTATTTATAGAGAAAATATTTGATACTGTGGTTTCCATATCGGCACTGACTACTTCAAGTAAATTGTTTTCCTGCAATATTTACCAGAAGACAAAAGCACTAAGCGGAATCAAAGTTTTATTGATGTATTGTATTATATTTGGTCACATTATGACAACTGCCGAAATAATACCGACTGTTTTCGGTAATTATGTTTTGTAATAAGCAATACGTTGTTATTTTTCGAAATCCCAAAATATAACTTTGTAGAAAAGTGTCTTGCCAATATCAGAATTATACTTTATGACATTATTTTCTTACCGTTGTTTATAAAGAGACATCGGTTAATTCTTAAGATGTTAATAGGTCTGACAATTCAATGAAACATTTATTTACTTAACATGGTTATTTACTATTTCAAAACTGAATTTAAAATGTTTTGCTTTAATAATGTTTTCAACCTTCAAACTCTTATAATGTTTTGCTTCAAAATTAAAAAGTACTAAATTATTAATTATATATATTATTACTTGTATTATCAATCTTTTCAACTCTTACTTTATAGTTCTACATATCTAATTTCATTTCGGTAACATTATTAATCGGACTGAATATTCTTGTATCTAATTCTATTAAAATATAAACTTAACGTCAATAAGTGAATAATTTTTAAATATTATTTTAAACTTTATTGCAGAAAAACGTATAAATTTTTCAAGAATAATCAATTACATACCAATAGAAATTTCTTATATTTCGTTTGCATTCATTGAAAGTTTTTTCTTAATCAGGTAAGATATACGCAAACCTGTTCTATTAAGATAATTATGCAAATTTACTTTTATGCCCTTTAAATATTTTAGAATTCTCTTTAACTTTTTATGTTTTAAATACAATAGCAGGTGATCGTAATTAAAACATTCATATTAAACGCTGTGTAAAGAGATATTTAGCATTTAATAAAATAGTTGTTCGGATAAATAAGTTTAAACATACAAAACTAAATAAATTTTTAATATAGAATTATATCAAGTACATTACGTATTGTTTAATTGTGCCATCGACAGAGGAAAGAATTTTAAAGCTTTACATAACGATGCGTAAAAGTTTCTTCAAATAAACGGTTTACTACTCCGTGAAATTGTTAATTACTTCATCTGTGTGTAAAAGAACGAATATAAAAGATACTTTTGTGTCTTTTCTATTTTAAAAATGTTTTTAACTTTTGTATGCTCAAACATTCAGCTATTTAAATTATATCAAATTTGGAACGGTAACATTACACGTCATGTGATGACAAGATCAGTTCGAAAATATAATACGATAGCACTTCATCAGAGTGTTTGTAAAAAACAATAATACAAATGTGAAGGTTATTCGTGCATAAAATACTACTAAACGTAGTCTGCATTTTGAAGTCTAAACTATCACGTAAAATCAATTATAATCAGCTATTGTACATGATAGTCATATTTATCAAAATTTAAAAATTGTGCACTTAATAGTTTCCAGTGTTCTCTGTCTGGCTGCGTGTCTATTCTTCCTTATTCTCACAATCGAAGTTAGATAAATGAAAGCCGGGAAGAGATATGAAAAGATTAGTGATCACTAAAACCTGATTTAGCAAACCCTAATACTAAAGATGTCACCGTATAAAATTTGTTGCAATTCCGCTGCTAAATATCTTTGTAAACAGCATTTACTAAGTCGATATTAATTATAACCATCTATAGTTACTGTTTTATAACTGTTTATTTTTTTGCAAATACAATAACTTAGTATATATATTCGTAATAGTAGCTAAATTTATATTAAATTTAAATTACGATGTTATGAATTGCTGTATAACAAAATAGCTAATAAAATGATTTGTATTTATTTTTTATTTAGTGGATTACTAACATTTTACACACGAAAACAAAAAGCAAAGTCAAACATGCAATATGTGCAATTCATAATAAACAGAGCGATCAGGTAAGGTAAATGAAATCGAATTCTTGCATTAAAAAGCTTTTATTGATGTAAAATGCACGAAAATTTTTCAGGTTAACACTACCAGTTCTTTGTGTTTTGGCCACGATGATTATTTTACCTCTTTTGGGCGATGGTCCACATTGGGAATATGTTAAACGTGAGGCTGAATTTGCAGAACAACATTGGTGGGAATTTGCATTTCATACTCACGTTTATGTAAATTATCCACATAAGGTAATTGTTCTGAATTTCATCTCAATTAATATTTTTATTATATATTTAATCTATGTACGTTTTGAACTTACAGGTTTTGTTTCACTTATGGTTTATTAGTGATTTGTTGCAATTAACGATTATCACAGCACCATTGTTATTCGTGTATGACAGGTAAGGAGAAAATTAATTATATGGTTAGTTAATGATATAAGAGCATAGTTGATTAAAAAAAGATAGAAATAAATAGAAATAAGACGGTAAATTAAGCCGATTTATCTTTTGTGCAGAACTACTACCTAATTAGCATCGAATATACAGGAAAAAATTGATTAATATTATGGAGACTGATAAAGGATAATGTTAAAAATAGTAATTGGAGTATTATAATTTCTGAAGTTGACACATCACATAATAATTTCATCTGTGTATCACTGTAATGCGATTAAAATTACGCGAAACCAGATTTTAGTTTCGAATTGGCTTATTCATTGTCATGTGTGCACATGAGAACTTCATATGAGATACTCTAACATCTAGATGAAATTTCTCTTAAAATGCACAATATTCAGCAATGACATTCTTATAAATTCTTTCATTCGAATACTTTAACATCCGCGGTTTCTGTCACCAAAAATTTGGATTAAGTCGAGTAATATAGTGTTCTGGCATATATAAAATGGCAAAAATTTATGACAGTTATGTGATATATTTTTTAAAATGTAAAAGAAAAAGAAAAACTATAACAACTGTAGACAACCAAAACGAAATTGTATTTATCACTGTTATACTCCGATATATACAGGTTTTTAATGAATATTTTATTTACTCGTTAACGATCATTTGTGTATTAAAAAACAATTCAAAGTGATTTAGTTTCATTCATAAATGCTAAGAAAAATATAAGGCTAGTAGGCCTATATTAGCTGGCCGAAGTAGTGTGATAGGATATTTCGTGTTAGAAATAGCGTATCTGAACATATTTTCTATGTTTGGATGTGGACGATTTTTTTTTGAAAGAAAATATTAATTATTTTGTAAATTTCGGCTTAATTTATTTCGAGAAAATTCGTAATTATAATTGTTAGCAAAACTTGTTCGACATAAAATTTCAAATGTAAGTAGAACTTTTTGCTGACAGTTCTGCTTTTCTCACACTGTAGATAAATTAAAAGTATTTTATTAATTTATTATTGTTTTACTGAAAACATTTGTATGTATTTTTTTATTTCAGATGGCCAAAACATGGGAAATTTGTAATATTTATGTTACTTATGGTTGGCATTACCTCACACGTGACTTACATGGTGATGACAGACAGCTTCCTTTTCATTGGATACTCTTTTGACAGGGAGTATGTTTTAGTGATATTAAAAACTTTGAGTAAATTATTTTACATTTTTAATTATTTACATAAATCTTACTTACAATGGCAATATGAGGCAAAGGGATAAATATATTGAAAGCACATATATACATTTTTATATATAAATATATGTGCTTTCATTATGTATGTGTTGTTAATTTATATAAAATACTTATGATGTAATATACATGATAGATTTCTGTATTAAACAGGTTCATACAGAAAGTATTTAGATAACTTTTCGTCAAGCCATAAATCTTTTTTTTGCTTGTCAAAAGAATGTAAAACTATAATAAAAACTTATACATTATAATATAGTTAGCATGCCATATGCAAAAAATAACAATTTTATGAATTTTATTTACAGAAAAGTGTATACTTATATGTTTAATAATCATTCAAGACCGTATTACTCGCACCTCACTTCTTACTGCACGGGTTTATTAATTGGAAATTTTCTGGCAAACAAAATGGAGATAAAATTCAAAAAAGTAAGTCATCTTTCTCACATTTTCAATATCTTATTAAACGTATTGTAACATAAATCATATTACAAAAAGAAATTATATTGGGAGTTAACGTTAACATGCACAAAATTATAACTCAAAATATTAAAATTTAGAATATTTGTTATTATTTAACCAGCCCAACGAAATACTTAATTTGACTGCTACCCTTTTCGTTTCATTAATGTTTATTTACTTCAACTAAACTAAAATTTTATTTTTATTGTCATCATCAGTCTATTTATGATTAAATTATATGTATGTAAACATTTAACAGAACGTGCTGAAAATTGCAGAAAAGAGTGTTTTATGATTTTAGAAAACATATTGTATACTTTAAAAGATATGAAGACAATTTCTTTATTTTATGAAAGAATAACGTAGGATAAATAAATTCGTTAATAAGATCAACGCTAACAACGACGGCGTTAAATTGAGAATATAACAAAAAAGTTCTTTAACAGTACATTTTTTAGATATAAACATCCAGTTAAAAAAAAGTGCATTTATAGATTAGTGTTTACATGAAATAATATAAACAGTAATGATCCGTAACGGTATAAGCAGGTAGCATTTCAAACTGTAATCAGAATGGCCTTTTTATATTGTGTCAGTGTTGTGGACAGAGCAAAGGAAATTGACAGAATTGTACAAATAGACGAAATTCTATAATACAAAATAAGGCACAATATCAAGAATAGCTAGAAGATACGAAATGAGAACAAAAGCTTCAAGACATGATCCCAGTAAATTCACAAAGTTTACATATAACAGAAGTACGAAAGGCATTATGAAAGAAATTGCGAATTGCAAGGAGTCAAGAATGATTCTGAAAAGAGCTCCGAACCTATATGAAATTTTAGGAAATGACAAATATAACATCAAGAAAAAACAAAAAGCAACAGAGTACAATTTTCCGTACGAAAACGTACAGCTAAGAATGAAAAAACAATATACTGGCGTCAGAATTGCAAATTTGGGAGTAAGACTCAAAGAACAAACACCAGAAAAGGTTCCAACACAACAGTACTTTCCCACTTGGAGCAGACCCAAGGTGCGATAGTAAAATGAAATAAAGCGGACATCGTCAAATTCTTGCTCTTTTCAACATTAGCAAGGACTGCTGAAAAAATTGAAATATACAAGAGCAAGCCAGAAAAGGCATGCATAAATGCAAGGGACGCAAAATGTCTACCATCGGCTTCGAAGTTCCATCGTATAGTCAAAGTGTTTGCCACGAACTCTTAATTTATATATTAGTCTATAGATGCACATTATATAAATTATCNAATTGAAAATAGTTCGTTTGATTTTCGGCAATTCTCTTCAGCGGTAGGTGTTATATAACAATTACTATGGTTATTGAAATATTGGATGTAAATGGGGTTTGCTTGCAAAACCTCCGCTGACGAAGTCGCGGGTAACAGCTAGTATTTCAATAACATCAGTGAAATTTTTGGGCAAAACGTTATGTATAGTGTTATACAAATGTCTTAAGTATTATAAGAGAAAGAAACACTGATAAAAATAATATTATTCTACGAATAATGTTTTTCCATAACAATATTTTAAAACCGTTAATATAATAAGCGAATAAATAATAAAAATACGTTTTTATAAATATTTAAGTTGATGTTTCTGAGAGAATTTTGTTCATGCCGGATAATTGAGGCCCGGATTAGGGAGAGTTTATTACGTAGAATGTAGATTTGAAAGTCATATACTTCACAATATATGTAATATTTATTAATTCACGGTTAAGCACGACACCTAGCTGTCGCGAAGTCGGGCGCAAGGGGCATCAGTTAGAACCAGTTTCAAAAATTAATTTTGTAAAAGTCATAGGTTTTTTCGCGAATTTTTCATGTTAGAAGTATCTGGGAATGTGTTTTTGATGTATTAATTAACAAAAAAATTGGTAAGAAAAGGAACACCCTTGGAAACGAACATTAGTGGGTTATATCTGGGTTATTGAGTGGCTATTTAACATTCTTAAAACCTATCAATTCCGACTGCTTTAGTTTGGTATTAACAGTGGCCTGCTTGGTGGCAATCATCTGTGCCTTGGCTTCAAAATAAAAACTTTTTGAAATTTGCCAACAGTCGAAATTTTACATTTACCCTTTTTTTGTTGATAGGTTTTTCCAGAGTTCAGTACGTTCAAACAATGACCAGTGCGTTCAAATTAGACAGAAACATATTCGTTTCATTTATTCGATACTTATATTTCAGATAAGTTATTCAGAAACAATTCAAGACTTTTAAATTCTCACTGTCATCCGTTTGTCTGCCTGCCTGTCTTTCTTAATATCTAGAACAATGTTAAATAAATGTATATAAAAAGAAGATGTGGAAGAATAGGTACAATAATTCCAAATGAACGTTTCGGTTTCAACAGAAGTTACGTTATTTTTTAATTCAAACTTGAATACTTTTTAAACTAATCAGATGGATAACCGGCACATCTGTATTGTCAGCACGAAAAGTATAATGTACAGGGTCAAGACACTACCAATTTTGAGGTGAAAAGCATATATTTTAAATTAAATAAATTAAAATTATATAATTAATTGCATCCTGGCATTGAGACCATGTCACTATAAATAATTGCTTGTATTTTATATATGTTCGACGGCTTTTTCAAATTTCAAAAATAAAGTAGGTCAAATTAAAACTACATATAATAAAAATCTAAACTATTACGAAAAAATATATTAATTTCAAAACATTTATTTTCTTTTTCAGATTTACCGTGTAATCTTCTGGATAATTTCCTTGTCTTTATTGATGTATTCTACTTTTGGATTGCACAAACAGATAACTGAAATGTCTCCAAACAAAACTCTTGTTTTTATTCACAGAGCTTCGTCACCGTTTATGTGGATAATTGGACTTTCTTGGATGTGTGTAGCTTGTATAACTGGATATGGAGGTATGTCGATTGCACAGTTTCATTTTTGAAAGTATTAAAGTATAGAGAGTGAACATAACTTGCATTTTCAAAGATAATGTAGAAAATATCGTTTTGAATTATTGTATTCACAAGCGAATCAAACATAACTGCTACTGTTTTGGAAAGTATTTTAAATAAAATATCAGATTTGTAATAAATTGTGATGTAGGAACGCCCTAACTACAGTCCCGGGACAAATCAAACATGCCATATAACCTTACAAATGAAAAAAAAATCAGGGCTGTGGAGTCGCGTAAAAATCTACCGATTCCAACTCCGACTTCGACTCCGACTTTTCCTTACCATCCGACTCCGACTCCACAGCCCTGAAAAAAATAAGCAAACCTTCGGTTTGTATAATACTATATATACAAACATTCATTGAAATACTAAAGTAGAATTTGGCTCTTCAATCGAAATGTTTCGATAAGATTATTCTAAGAGATCATTGAAAGAACAAACAATATTGTAATAACAAGTAAATAGCATGAGCTTATTTTCGAAACATAAAATATTTTCATGCATGACAATTTTGAATGGAATTTATTTACATTCTGTCTTTCCATTTATTTAATTAAGTACTGTTTATTCTTTAAAATATCTTTTATGTGTTTCAAAAAACTTATATTTTGTGATTTTTCTGTTAATGTTTATTTACGTTGATGGTTATTTTAATATTACAACAGAAACTAGTATTGAATAAAGTGCAGTGATTTTTAAAGATATAATATGTTTTTATAGTACTTATATTTCTAATAAAATGTTAATAATTGCTATTTTAATATTTATTATTTGTAAGGCAAATAATGAATGAATAATAATGAATACTTAGAAATATACGTCCGCATTTACTGCTTAACATATTGTTTTTTACGTTATGTAAGCATATAGAATGATAGTATTGTCAGATATATTTTTAAAGTTTTCGAATTTATTTTTTTTTTATTATTTTTAGGAGTTGTTAACAGATTTCTGTCTATGAAAGTCTTTACCATTTTAGATCGTTTGAACGTATGGATTTACCTGCTTCATCATCTAATTATGTTTTATATTTTCGCTCAGCTTAGAAAGGCAGCAACCTTTACTATGATAAATATGGTAATTTTATATTTATATAAATGAAATAATAATAATTTATAAATTTACCCATAAAATAATACATACATATATCAATGTTTTATTTTCTTATATTTATTTGTATATATTTCAATAACATTAGTGAAATTGTTGGGCAAAACGTTATGTATAGTGTTATACAAATGTCTTAAGTATTATAAGAGAAAGAAACATTGATAAAAATTATATTATTCTACGAATAATGTTTTTCCATAACAATATTTTAAAATCGTTAATATAATAAGCGAATAAATAATAAAAATACGTTTTTATAAATATTTAAGTTGATGTTTCTGAGAGAATTTTGTTCATGCCGGATAATTGAGGCCCGGATTAGGGAGAGTTTATTACGTAGAATGTAGATTTGAAAGTCATATACTTCACAATATATGTAATATTTATTAATTCACGGTTAAGCACGACACCTAGCTGTCGCGAAGTCGGGCGCATGGGGCATCAGTTAGAACCAGTTTCAAAAATTAATTTTGTAAAAGTCATAGGTTTTTTCGCGAATTTTTCATGTTAGAAGTATCTGGGAATGTGTTTTTGATGTATTAATTAACAAAAATTCTCAAAATATATCGTTTTTATTTGTATATAACGGAAGCAAGAAGACTTAAGTTTTTAGGAATTTTTCAGGAAAAAATCGTCAAATTAAGAAGTGTGTTTTACAAAGTGTATACAAGTCTGTTACTATCTAACCTCTGAATCGTTTTTCTGTATATGTTTTTTAACTGCCACAACCATTAAATTCTTTCTAACAATCCCCGGGCCAAAAATATTTCTGTATTTCCAAAAATACACCCTCTAATATTCTACAGGAACTACAGGTAAAAGTGCAGATTATTAGCAGATAACATCGATATTTAATTAACTTTACACTGTAATTAGTTAATTTATTTGTCTGTTATCAGATCCACCTGTACAAACAATTGTTGGAAAAATTCATTTAAATGCCACGCCCCCGCAGGCTACCAGTAGTAGTGGTTTGACACATACTGATCACAAAATTAATTTCAGATGTCAATTAAATTAAAATTGCAAATAAAAATTTGTTAAATAGAATTATTTCAGATCACAAAACTAATTTTTCAATGAATTTCCTAAATAAATTTGAGTGGCACTAAACACAAAATTAATTTTTATAATCACAAAANGATCATGAACATTGTAAACATTTAGCGAAATAAAGGTGCTATTGAATCGAATAACTTATTTTGTATCACAGTAGAAAATGATCGCAATCCATTAACCTATCGTAGCCGGTTAGTTACCAATAGCAAACGATAATAAAATTACTGAAAAGAGCTATTAATGGAAGCTGTGGAATTCGGTATTTATGGAATAATATGATTTACAGTTGGTAGAGAATGATAGAATCAGATTTACAGCAGTAATCAGATCATCTAGTTACCATCTTGATTACAAGTATAGCGTATAGTACGCAAATAGTTCACGATCCATTTTTCTAAGCACTTTTTTCTTATAAAGATTTATTGGTATATGAATTTAGCACGGATGTCAAAGTGATAAATTCAGGTAACACACGTGGACGAAATATCAAAACGAATGATAGATTAGCATTTTAATTGATAGAAATATTTTCAGTTAATTTTAATTGGAAAAAGACTTGTAAATATTCTTGCTTCTTGTCTAAATTAATGCTTCTTGATGTAGCCCGGGGCTGACTAATTGGACAGACTTATCAGACTTTTCAAGTGATGAAAATAGGTTAATGGATTGCGATCATTTTCTACTGTGATACAAAATAAGTTATTCGATTCAATAGCACCTTTATTAATATTGGACTCTTAGCCCCTCATCAATCCAAACAGCAAGCGCTGATTACTAAATTATTAAAATTAAAAATTATTTTCCAGTTATAATAGTATTTTATAACAAATATTTAATGTACAATACATTTACTAGACATTTAAACAGTACTTATAAGCGGATTTTCCGGGCTATTCGTTTATGTATAACTTGATAGTCTTGCTCTCAACAGAATCGTTAACCAAAGGATCATAGAATTATCTATTTAATTTATATATATATATAATTCATATTTACATAGATAATATAAATATCTTATAATATCTATGTAAATATAAATGTAATTATATATATATTATTGAAGATCTAAATAGAATTGGCGTGGCGCAACTTGGCCTATTTGGCCCTTGAGCCAAAAAACACTAACTAACCAACCAACCAACCTAAATAGAATTATTCAGAAGGTTAAAAGTTTAATGTTGTCGGGTCAATTTATAATATCAGCCTTGGGCTATAACAAAAAGTGGAAAAATTCTTATTTATTTTATGGTGATTATGCAGTATTTTCATTTGTTTTATTTCTTCGTAATCATTAGATAATAGAAATCTTTATCTGTTTTATATTAATAATTGAAAATAATTGTTTAGTAATAGAAAATAATCTGAATAAACTGAAAATATGCTTATTGATAGATCAAAACACGCTATGAATAATTTGATGCATCTCTTCATCTTGAGTCCATAAATTATGATAATTATGCTAATAAAAAAACTGAAATTTATCCTCGGCAAATGTGAATTTTTTCAAGGATAATAGAGAGGTTGCGGCCGACGTTTTCATCGGGAAAACGTGTACCTCGGACGTTCAGCGCCGCATTCCTGTAAGCCTAGAAGTTTGACAATGGTGTTTGGATAGTCAGTGGAATCATGCTCGATGTCCTAAACACCACTGCCAAACTTCTAGGCCTTTAGGAAAGCGGCGCTGAATGTCCGACGTACATGTTTTTGCGTTGAAAACGTCGGCCGCAACCTCTCTATTAAATTTGAATTGAAAATTTTTAATTCCGCGGAAAAATGTTAATGAAGAATCTTGATTCGAATCCGATTCTGACAACCTTAATTTAGCAGTTGTAGATGGTCGGGATACTGTTCCCATATCTCATCCAAGTTAGCCATCTCTATCGTAATCCTCTCATGATGGATATAATTGTGGACAGCCTTAGCCTTAATGTACTGATTTTTCGCGTTAACTAAAATCAATTAATAAATTCAAATTTAAATAATAACGAGCAAATTACCGGAATGCAATTTTTAATCACAGTTTAATTTAAAAATAAGCTTTCCACATCACATCTGGGTCTGGATTTTCATATTTATTCTCGAGATTAACGAAGGACGGATAGACGGACGACAGTGGGAATGTATAGGTCTGCAATTTTGAAAATTGCAACCGAATAAAGTAAAATAAAACTCTCAGTGTAAATAAACATTTGTTTATATTTTATGTAAAATAAAAAATACAACAAAGCAGTTAAGTGTTAAAGAAGATTAATATTGTTTAAATCAAGATTAATCTGATGTACGGATTCAACACATGATATTAGAAAGACTGGAAACCTGTTAAGTCATGTCATCAATACAATGGATGTCTTGAAATCCGCCATATTTGATTTAACTTTGACTTTTTAAATGGAAAGGCATATGACATGTCAAATTGGTGACGACTTTTAATAGAAAAACAGTTGTCTGCTTAATTTTACTCATTTTCAATGTTTAAATAATTTTATGTTGAACTAGAAAAATGCTGTGCGCTTAAATCTAACTTACCTAAACTCTATCAAATTGTTTTATGAACATCAATGTTCAATGTGCTGTCCTCGTTCCAATTACTGATGAATCTTGAGGCACATGTACCGATAAATACTAGCACAAGCATCACTAATTTGCTGTTTAAGACGAATGGCGTTGCTTGAAATCTGTAATAACATTTTATCACTCGATATGAGAATTATCTCAACACGTTCTGCTTGTGGCATTTAGACGTTTCATTTAATTTTCCTTTTCAAGAAAATTGATAATTGCTTATATAATATGTTCGCCTATAGAAGTTGGTCAAGACGGTTTAGCCGTCAGCCTACCTTTCTGGAGGATCCTGTAGTAGAAAAACCCCAAATTTTTAGAGGGTAGGTAGTTTTCTTCTAGAGATGTTGGGTTCTGTCCTCGCCACTCTACCGGCTACCCTTTTGTGGATTCAGCCAGGTCGACAATGGGGTGATTAGAAAGGCCCTCTTAGTGCCTACAGGACGGAAAGAGAGGAAAAAAGGCATTCGGCCCAACCGAATAGAAAGCTTAACGTGTTATTTGGGCATAAATATTCGTAACGTTAATGTTATAAAATAAAAATCAATTTGAATACTTATTATTTAACTATTGTATTAACATATGAGAAGAAAAACAAAACAAAAAGAAATTCGAATATTTATTATCAGAATCTATTGATGTCAATAACTTTAATGAACAAATTTATTTAATATGCGAGAATAAAACTCGAAGCTAAAATAATAATAAGAGGTTTACATTGAAAAATTAGAAAGGTAATTTCATGTTTCTGCCTTCCAACTTTTATATATAATTATAGTAGTCATTTTCTTACTGTTTTGCCAAAAAACTATAGTCTATTTTTTTATTTTATGCTTCCAGTTAGTTTGCAAGAATTCTCTCTCTTAATCTAAGTTAAATCATCCGGAGTTCGATTTAAATTTATAATATTCATATAAATTAATTTCTAAATCCTCCTTTAAATGTATTCGTAAATTCATCTTTAAATATGCTGAGATATTACGTATGCTATAATATCTAAGCTTATAGAAGGTTAGTTTCGGCCGAAACTAAACCAGTTAATGTAGATTTGTTTCTTAATTTTGTGTTCATACTTTATATCTGTACATAAGATAATAAAATTTGTTTTTTATATTTACTCTCTCTCTGTAAAAGTTAAGAAGGCCGTACCAGAGGCTTAGCCTTAGAATAGAAGTGAGAAGAGGATAAGAGAGGGGGGAAGGGAAGATGGGGTAAGTATGATAGGAAAGTGTGAAGAAGAGATTTGTGAGCATCCAGCACCCTGCTCCGTTTATTGGAACCCAAATAAATGTAATACAAAATGTAGGTACATGCCTGAAGAAAAACAATGAAACTGCTCCAATTTGTAGAGTACAACAGACCGCGGATTAAACAAAGATCATAGTAGACAACTCGCGACTTGGCGAATACAAATGTACATGACAGTTTAGAACGAACGAAACATAACATAACATAACATGAACCCCAGCTTGGGGGGACCCTGAAGACCTAGTATTAGTTATACTGGTCCAGGGGAACAAAAGAGGGACAAGTGGCCTGAACCACTAGGCTTGAGCGTATAAAAGAAAGAAAGTTAACCGAACAACCGAACTTAGCGAATACAAATGTACATAACAGTTTAGAATGAACAAAACATAACATAACAACATGAACCCCAGCTTGGGGGACCCTGAAGATCTAGTATTAGTTATACTGGTCCAGGGAAACAAAAGAGGGACAAGTAGCCTGAACCACTAGGCTTGCGCGTATAAAAGAAAGAGAGTTAACCGAACAACCGAACTTAACGAATACAAATGTATATGACAATTTACTAAATAAAATTGCATCCACTTAGAATGTTCATTTGCATTTCTATGAGGTTAATCAAAATTAAATAAATTTGTTATTTATAACCACATTTTGAATGAATTACAATATTAATTTCATTTAAAATTAATTNGAATTATAATTATGTGTTTATACTTAATTTCGTAATTTACCTGATGATGTATAACTCATTTCAACAATAGAAAATATAGAGCTGTATGAAAAATTATATTACTAAGAGATCTTTATATACTTACAGACCTATGCTATTAGTTTAGACTATATCAAACGCACTTAATAAGTAATTTTTCAGTTCTATATAAAATGATTTATCATGCATATTATCGGTTTATTTTTAACAATTATTCACCTCAAAATTATTTTTAATACGATACTTCTATAAAAAGAATTTAATGAAAAATCCGTTTGTTACGTCTTAAGTTGTCGATTCAAATATCTAGTGTATAGGCCTATAATATAAACCGAACGAATTTTATTGGTAAAATTGAAAAATTTTTCATTAACAGCCTGAAATAATTAGAAAATCCTATTTATGGATGCTGTTAGGGTGTAAAAATCGGCCATTTGATTGGTATCTGTTGTGCCATTCTTGTATGGCCTCAGCAACATTTCTATAATAAATAAAGGGAAGGAATGTTCCCAATACAAAAGCTAGAGAAGGGAGAAATTTTCTTCCAACCATCTATCGATTTAGTTAGTTCGAAATTTTTTTAAATGAAAGTAAAACTTACTCATTACAATGTAATACTTTTATTTAAAAAATAACTCTGATTTTGTTTATAACAGCATAAATTTTTAGTTTTTAATATTAGCGTAAATACTTTAATTAATTATTTTAATTATTTGTTTGTTCCTATTTTATCCGAAAATATGAGCGAGTCCATCAGATAAGTTTATATAGCTCTATTACTAACGTTTGTTTTCATATAACTCTATAATACTCTTTTATTGCTGAAATGAGTTATTAATATTAAAACATTTATATTTTTATTTTCTATATTATAGTATACCTTTTTATATTTTTTATTTACATCATTCCAATTTTCATTTTATAAAACTCATTCTAGAAATTAAGCAAAGACA